AAAAATCTAGACTCTGATTACGTTTATATATACATCTGACAGTAATGAGCACTGAGAAGTGAGGCTGAAGGAAGGCTAGATTTGAGCATCTGTAGTATAGGGCAGCAATGCTGAACCCTCATCCTCAGAGTTTTGACAGTTATCTTGTGATGTAATTTGGCAGTTTGTGGAATGGCATAATTTGGCAGTTGCTGTAAGAACCTGTCAAGTGAGCTCCAAAGCGTAATTCCCTTATATACAGCTATAAAAAAAATTAAGCAGTTGTGTTATGATGAAATTGTTCAGCTGTGTAATGGTGCCACTTGATATAATCATCTTTCATTTTGTGATCTGCTGTGATCATTCTTTGTTTTTTTGCATGAAATAACCTGGTCATTGAAAATTTACCACATCTCTAAGTGGACTAGGTGTACACAACTTTATCTTCACTGTAAGATTGTTAGCTCTTTCAAGGTTTTGTAGTTGTTGTTATGTGCCATCGAGTTGCTTGCGACTCATAGCGACCCTAAATGCTTTTCTATCCTGTGCCAACCTAGCCATCTCAAACGCACTTATTTCCACCGCTCCAGTCACAGAATCGATCCATCTCATCAAAGGTCTTCCTCTCCCTCGCCGCCCTTCCACTCTGCTAACATGATGTCTCTCTCCAAGGACCAGTCCCTCCTTTAAACATGCCCAAAATATGTCAGATAAAGCTTCAGAATCCTTGACTCCAGGGAACACTCTGGCTTTACCCTCTCCAGGACAAACTTGTTTGTTCTCCTAGCAGTCCATGGTATATTCAACACTCGTCTCCAGCACCATAGCTCAAAGGCATCAATCCTCCTTCTATCAACCCTATTCACTGTCCAACTCTCTGATGCATAGCACATAATTGCAAAGACTATAGTCCGGATGAGGCGCACCTTAGCCTCCACCCTGACTTCGTTGCTACTCTTGAGAGGTCCCTCACAGCCAACTTTCCCAATGCACTTCATCTCCTGACTTCCTGGCTGCTGTTACCAAGAGTGTTGACTGTGGAGCCAAGTAAATTAAAACTGTTAACTATCTCAATCTCTTCACCATCCATCCTGATGCTGCCAATTGGTCCAGTGGTTAGAATCTTTGTTTTCTTGGCATTGAGCTTCAGTCCATACAGGAGGCTGTAGTCCTTGATCTTCTGCAGCAAGCGCTTCAGGTCCTCCTCAGTTTCAGCAAGCAGGGTTCTGTCATCCGCATAACGCAGGTTGTTGATGATTCTTCCATCAATCCTGATGCCGCATTCTTCCTCGTACAGCCCAGCTTCTCGGATGATCTGTTCTGCATATAGATTGAAAAGGTATGGAGACAGAATACATCCCTGACGGACCCCCTTCTTGATTTTGAACCATGTAGTATCTCCTTGCTCTGTTCTGACAACTGCCTCTTGGTCCAAGTATAAGTTTCGTATTAGCACCATCAAATGTTCTGGGATTCCCATTCTTCTCAGAGTCAGCCACAGCTTATTGTGATCCACACAATCAAAAGCCTTTGCATATTCAATGAAGCACAGATAGACATTCTTCTGGTATTCTTTGCTTTCTGCTAAGGTCCATCTGACATTAGCTATAATATCTCTAGTACCACAACCTCTTCTAAATCCAGCCTGCACATCTGGCAGTTCTCTGTTGACATAGTGTTCCAAATGTTTTTGTATAATTTTCAGCAGAATCTTGCTTGCATGTGATATCAGTGATATTGTTCGATAATTTCCACACAATGATATTGTTCGATAATTTCCACACTCTTTTGGGTCACCTTTCTTTGGAATGGGAACAAATATCGATCTTTTCCAGTCAGTGGGCCAGCTAGCTTTTCTCCAGATTTCTTGGCACAACTTAGTGAGCACATCCAGGCAAGTGTCTGTTTGTTGAAATATGTGAATTGGTATGCCTTCAGCTCCTCAAGGTAGATTCAATATTTTAATTTCCTCATGTGCCCTCCAGCTCAGAATGGAGTACTTGACCCATGAAGGTGCTTGTGAAAATTATCTGAATGGGTCAAGTAAGGGATAAATAAACTTTGTAATTCTAAAAATGACTGAAACAACACATCAGCAGAAAACTGCCAGAGGTCCAGGCTGGGTTTAGAAGGGGTCCTGGTACTAGGGATATTGTAGCTAATGTTAGATGGATCTTAGCTGAAAGCAGAGAATACCAGAGGACTGTCTATCTGTGCTTCATTGACTATGCAAAGGCATTTGACTGTGTGGATCATAACAAACTGTGGCTTGCTCTAAGAAGAATGGGAATCCCAGAACACTTGATCATGCTAATGAGAAACTTATACTTGGACTAAGAGGCAGTTGTCAGAACAGAGCAAGGAAACACTGCATGGTTCAAAATTGGGAAGGGCATATGCCAGGGATGTGTCCTGTCTCCGTACCTTTTCAACCTGTATGCAGAACAGATTATCCGGGAGGCTGAGCTCTACGAGGAGGAATGTGGCGTCAAGATTGGTGGAAGATATATCAATCTGCAATATACAGATGACACAACTCTGCTTGCTGAAACTGAGGAGGACTTGAAGCGCTTGCTTTAGAGGGTCAAGGACTGCAGCCTCCAATATGGATTGAGGCCCAATGTCAAGAAGACAAAGATTCTCACCATTGGGCCAATTGGCAGCATCAGGATGGATGGTGAAGAGATTGAGATTGTTCACAGCTTTAGTTTGTTTGACTCCACAGTCAACACTCTCGGCACCAGTAGCCAAGAAATTAAAGGACGTATTACCATGGGAAAGTCTGCTGTTAGGGACCTCTCCAAAGTACTGAAGAGCAATGGTGTCTTTCTGGAGACTAAGGTGCGTCTGATACAGGCCATGGTCTTTGCTATCACTTGTTATGCATCAGAGAGTTGAACAATGACTAAGGACGATAGAAGGAGAATTGAAGCCCTTGAGCTGTGGTGCTGGAGAAGAGTATTGAGGGTACCATGGACTGCTAGGAAAACAAACAGATTCGTCCTGGAAAGGGCTAAACCAGGCGGCTCCTTGGAGGCAAGGTTTCTGAGGCTCTGTCTAATATACTTTGGACATGTTGTAAGCAGGGACCAATCCTTGGAGAGCAGAGTTTAGGGCTGTTGTACATAGGGTCGCTACAAGTCACAAGCAACTCGACGGCACATAACAACAACAACAGGAGCAAGTCTTCTGTGAGAGTTGTAATCTGCATTCTCAGAAGGATACATTTCTTAAGAACTGTCAAAATGAAATGAGAGGAGGATAGCAATTGCCTTCTGTTCACTTTATAGGTTCTGAAAACTGGCTGGAAGTCAGCTATGAATCAGTTCCAACTCAATAGCATACATCATGATGGAAGACTTAGTAGACAGCTTAGTACTCAATGTTTTAGGGCTAAAATCCCTCCTGTACCAGCCGGGTAGGAGATACAGCCTTGTGTCTGCTGGATTCAGAATAACGTGGGAGAGTAGTCAGAGAGGGTTAACAGCAGGCACTCTTTCTGCCCTGATCATGCCAGGCACTTGAGTGATTAACATATACAGCAAACATTTTCTTACCAAAGTTGAGTTGATCCAATCCAAATACTCTTACAGAGAGGTCTTCTTAATTATAATAACATGGTATAAACATAAGAAGAAAGAATGTCAGTTATCACTTGGTATAATAACAGTGTTAGTGCTCATGCATATAAATTGTAAGTAAGTTTACCTACTTAAAAGGCAAAAAAGTGCTCAGTTTTGCAATTAAAACTTTTTAGTGTGCCACATTTAAAAACTCCATCATTACAACCAGTAGAAGTCAGTAATCACCACTAAAAGTACACGTTCTTGAATAGTTGATGAACTACTCATATGGAGATTATTTAGAAAGTCATTTGAAAAAGAAAAATTTAGAGTTACCTATGTTATGTTTATTTTCACATTTTCTAGACTCATCTAACTTAGTTTGGATATTGTTTTTATAACAAATATCATGGAAACCTAGAATTGTACTGTCCAGTATGGTAACTTATAATCCAGCATTACAATTTAAATTATTATTAAATAAGGTAAAATTTTCAGTTTTAAGTCATGTTAGTCAGAGTCAAAGTACCCAGTAGCCATACTGGGTGAGGAAACACCCTTTTGAACAGTACACAATAACAGCATTTCTGTCTTTACAGGTATTTTGACAGCATGGCTCTAAATAAAAAGATGAGTTTGATTTGCAGTGAGCCCTATTACTAAGGCATGCCTCCTTTTTATTTTTATACCTTTTTTATATCTATACTCATATTGATGAAAATATTTATGCATCCTAATTCTCAATCAATAATAATCCTTCTCAGAGCTAACTCTAATTACAGCCACAGATTAAAGATGAGATCTCCCTCTTGTCAGTTCCTTGTTCATTTTGATTCTCACCCTATTTGTGAAATTTATTAGCACTGAAAACCCACTGTAGGGTCCACTAGGAGTTGGTTCTGATTTGACAGCCATGAGCATCAACAGCAGTCCTCATTCATCTTGGTCACTGCTGTTAAGTTTTGTCCAGCTCATAGCTGACCCTCCAGTGTAGATTTAAAGGTGATTGTCCATGTTTCTACAAGGACCTGCTAGTGGATCTGAACCACCAAACTGGTAAGGGCAGTAGGTTAGCTACGCAGTACCCTACAGACTATACCAACAGAGCTCCCTTTATGTAAATAGCATATTTTGTCATTTTGTGATGACTCAATTGTAACTGTATTATTAACCCACATTTGGAAAGCAAATAACTGCAAGGCATTACCTTAAACCTGAACTCGTTCTTTGTAGTTAAATCTATTGGCTTTAAGTTCTTCTGTCTATAAAAGCAGTACCTTACAGTGATTTTGGCTGAGTTCCTGGGGCTCTTCATCAGTGAGCATATGAAGACTCCAAGTGAGCAGGAAAACAGGCACCTAGAATCCAGCAGTGCATGCATCAGATGGCTTTACTGTATAAAGATACAGGCTTGGTCCATTGGCTCCAGATATCTATCAAGTTCTTATTCTTTTGCAGATCACCTACAAAGCAGTCAGTTCCTTTGACCCAGAAATTGATTTATCCAATCAAAGTGGAAGAGTTTCAAAACTGGGAAATGAAACCCATTTTCTGTTTTTTGGGCTGTATCCGGGGACCACATACTCCTTCACCATCCGTGCCAGCACAGCAAAGGGGTTTGGACCTCCAGCAACAAATCAGTTCACCACCAAAATATCAGGTATTATTACCTGTCTGTTAATTATGTCTGTTATAAAAATTACACTTTTGTACTTTTTTCCTTTCAGATTGTCAAGTATGCTCAGCTTGTCCAAAGTACACATTCCTATTCAGAATTATATCCCTGGACTCTTAAAAAACAAACTCATAAAATTTAGTAAAATCTGAGCACTACTGGCCTAATGGTGAGAACCTGTATTGCAATTCTGAATGCATGTGGTTCAAACCCACCACCTGTTCTATTGAAAAATGATGAGCAGTCTCCTTCCATGTGATTAGATAGTTTTGAAAACCCACTGGAGAGTCAGCTGTGGGTCATTTCCAACTAAATGATACTCAACAACAACTACAAATATTTATAACTTGGGAATGTAAATTCTTTTATGTTAGTAAGGATAATTATTTTAGCAGTTTTCAGTGGACACAAGGCAGAAGGTTCTCTTAGGGCACTCTCATATCTATGCAACCTCAAGTTACTAAAGCAACAGCATGGTGAAAGGCTCTATAATGAGCCATGACTGATTGGGAGTTCTGAGTAAAGACAGAAAAATAATGAATTCACTTGTAGAGGGCCTCGTTCCTCAGACCTGCCCTAGGAGTGCTTCAGTGTGAGGAAGAGAGGTGACATAGAAGGATGGTTCCAGGCATTCACGGCCTCCAGTTCTTCACTTTTAGTGACTCAGTTATGCTAGCCAACGAAAGATGTAATTTGAGAAATATTTCTGGGCATGTTCAACTCTGCAGAAAATACCTGTGTACTGCAGACTAGAGGAAGTGGAGTCACCATCTGGTATGGGATATGCTGCAACAATAAAGACAATTCCATGGGTACACTTTCTCTTTTTACCCCCTTTTGGGTTTGAATGGAGAAATATTTTAATCTTTACTTTGACTATTTTGGTTGAGGGTAGATGAGATGGAATGGGATGTTGAGAGACTGTCCTTTTTTAGTAAGCCAAAGTTGATAAAAATATGTAAACTAATTTTTACAGCAGTTGTCACTTCTCTCTGACTTTGTAGTAGTTATAAATCACAGTCAAAGGAAAGGAGATATAATAATCTCAGTTTACTGATGGATTTGCTGAGCACAAGAAGTTTAGACATTTGTTTTTAAGCAAATATGAGATAATTTTTCATTGTATAATTATTTTATTTACAAGCATAAACTTCACTTGAAATTTAATACTCATTTGATCAGATAATTCATTTCTTGAAACAATATGGATAACTAGAAAATAGGAAGACAAACTTAAGAGATAAAAAAGATTATTTTGGGAAATTGGCACAGATGTACAAATGGGTGATTAGGAATAATACTGGGCTTGAAATTAGAAGACATAAAGACATAAGTCCCATTTGTAATTTTTCCATTTCCTTCTCCTTTAACTTTTTTTAAGTGAAATTACCTCTGAACACAAACTTTTGACCAAAAAATCTAATATTAATTTTAACAGAAATGTAAAAATGGAATATATACCACTATATAAACCAGTGTGTAAAAAGTGAATTAGATTTAAAATTCCCTCCTTGAACCACATATTTCAAATTGTACTTACCTCATAAGGATATTATTGTTGTTGTTGTTGTTGTTATGTGCTGTCAAGTTGCCTGCGATTCATAGCAACCCTATGTACAACACCTCTGAACCTTACTCTATTCTGAGCCAACCTTATTTATTGTCTCTGACACAGTTACTCCCCCATTACACCAGTCACTGAGTCAATCATTCTCATCCAGGGTCTTCCTCTCTTGTGCTGTTCCCCCACCATCCCAAGCATAATGTCCCTCTATTAGAAGAAAAATCAGTTTTACCATTTTGGCTAAAAATTCAAATTAACTGAAGATTTACTACTGTGATTGATAGTAGACCACATAGATATAATTTTATCTAAAAGCAAAGAAACTTGAGACTTTACTTAGCCTATGCAAGTTTATTAACAATATAATTTCTAAAGTTAGAAAAAATGATAACACCTGAAGGTCACCCTCCCCTGAACCATTGGTTGCATCAGTCACTGCACTACTCTAAAGGGCTATTCCAGACCCACCTTCAAGACAGAGCTCTTCAGTGCTGGGTGGTCATCTGTGTAGACTGCCCAGTGACCAATACACACTTTACCCTGATGGTCAGTGGGGCTCAGGGGGGACGCAGATCTTACTGGGTAAAAACTGATTTCCAGGATCAAACCCTTTCATGGCACTTGCTATGCAATTTTGGGTTACTATTTACTAGATGTTCCAGCATCGTGGTCAATAAAATATGCCGATAACACTATCTGTGAGGATTAAACTTGTGAGAATTTTATTGCATGTAAAGTATTTACTTGGCTACCTGTGAAGCATTCACAGTGCTCCCAGCACATAAAACATGTTCAGTAAACACTGTCTCATTAGCTGTAGTGAGTCTGTCCTGCTCCCTTCATAATAGTCTTTGGCCCCATTTCTTTTGCTTTCTTAGACCTCAGACAGGGAGTTCGTTGAAGTACAGAATGTAACTCTGTGTTATCAATTGGAGTTAATTTTTAATGAGAAAAGCTGAGAAATAATACTGAAATAAAGTGAATGTGTGTTAGACATTTTAAAACTATATTTGCAATCAGTGTGTGGCATACTTCATAATGAGTTGTGCTGCTAAACCAGAGAGCTCAGGTTTCTAGCAGTTTGAATCCACCAGCCTTTTCACAGAAGAAATATGGGCAATTTCTTCCTGTTATGATTTAAAGCCTCTGATAGAGGGTGGCTGTGAGTTGGAATCAACTCGATGGCAGTGCATCAGTGACTTTAAGATGAGATAGATGGCTTAGTGTTGAATGACTTGATGCACTGCCAGTGTAAAGGTGGTTGTTATGTGCATTTGAGTTGCCTGCGACTCATAGTGACCCTATGTACAAGAGCCCTAAACCCTACTCTATCCCTTTCCAATTTTATTGTCTCTGACACACCTACCCCCATTACCCCAGTCACTGAATCATCCCATCTCATCAAGGGACTTCCTCTCCTGCGCTGCCCCTCCACCCTCCCAAGCATGAAGTTCCTCTCCAAGGACTAATCCTGACTTACAGCATGTCCAAAATATGTGAGACAAAACTTAGAATCTTTGCCTCCAAAGAGCATCCTGGCTTCACCCTCTCCAGGACAAACTTGTTTGTTCTCCTAGCAATCCATGGTATATTCAGTACTCCTCTTGCACCACAGCTCAAAGGCATTAACTCTTCTTCTGTCATGCCTAGTCATTGTCCAGCTCTCTGATGCGTAACAAGTTATTGCAAAGACCATGGCCTGGATCAGGCACACCTTAGTCTCCAGACTGACATTGTTGTTCTTCAGTATTTTGGAGAGGTCTCTGACAGCAGACTTTCCCAATGAAATTTGTCTTTTAATTTCCTGGCTGCTGGTTCTAAGAATGTTGCTTGTAGGGCCAAGCAAACTGAAGCTGTCAGCAATCTCAATCTCTTCGTCATCTATCATGACGCTGCCAGTCGGCCCAGTGGTGAGAATCTCAAAGTACATAATTCTAATCTGCCAACTGCTCCATGGAAGATAGATGGGGAGTCTCTTCCTGTGAAGTTCTCTGCAGCTGAAACCCTGCTGGAGGGTCAGCTTTGAATCGGTTTTTACTTGATACCACTCAGCAACAACAATATATTCACAAGTCTCTTTCTAGTCAGGTATTCCCCCTTGTTGTTGTTGATTGCCATCGAGTTAAGCACGACTCATAGCGACTCTGTGAACAAAAGACTTTCCATAACTATCGTCATTTCCCCCAAATTTATAGTTTCCAGAGGCATGTGGTTTAAGAAGTGGATGCCACTTCTGCTTCCAAACCAGTTTTACAACTGGGAGCTCCACCAAACATTGTCCCCATTGGGGAACCATTCTGGTATTTGATACTCCAATGGCACAAGGTTCAGCATCACAACAAATCCAGGCTATTTGTACAGCACATTGACAAAGAGTGATGTATAAAGTGGAAGAGCATTCTTCCAGATATAACAGTACTAGTTTCATTTAGCAGTGGTTAAGTGTCCTCAAGTCAAATATGACTGAGAGTAAGCTTTGTGCAAAATAACTAACATAATTTCTGTACATTTGTAGAGTTTAGAGAGTTTGTGGAGTTTCCAGAGGAATCTAGTTTAGGACCTGGATTCCACTCTTGCTTTCCAGCATAAATCAATCTGGAACCTCATCCAAACATTGTACATAATGGTTAACCATTATGGTATATTACAAGACTATAGAACAATATGCAGCATCACAGCAACACCAAGTTATTCAGTTCAGCAAATAGACAAAAGACAGCTCTGTTGTTTAAGGAATATTCATTCAAAAATTAATAAATTTGGCCCAAGGGCCCTGTAACATTTTAAAGCCTCATCTTTGAGCAGACTTCCACCCTTGGCCAAAGGATCAAGGACACCCGCTCCTGGGGGGGAAAGAACAGTAATATACATCAAACATAAACCCAGAAACTTCTCTTTATGTCACTGACGCAACTGCCATCAAGATACTAGCTAGCAGCCAAACTTCCAGAGTAGAGGCTTCTAAAATGTTCACGTGTCTTCCTGTGTCAAAGCTTTCTTCACCTATGCATGTTGGTACCAGTATGACAGAAGTGTCCATTGTTATCCTAATACAAGAGTCAGGAAGATGAAGCTGGTACTCTTTGCTGAGTGAAATAAAAGAGTAAAAAAAAAAAAACATAGCTACTGTTTGGCCTTGTTGTTATAAGCCATTGCATCACCTGCAACTCATAGCGACTCTTTGTACAACAGCTTTAAACCCTGTTCTATCCTGTGCCAATCTCATTGTCTCTGACACACCTACCCCCATTACTCCAGTCATTGAATCAATCCATCTCATCAAGAGTCTTCCTCTCCTATACTGCCTTTCCACCCTCCCAAGAATGACATCCCTATCCAAGGACTGGTCCCTACTTTAACATGTCCAAAGTATGTTAGACGAAGTTTCAGTCTTTGCATCGAAGGAGCAGCCTGGCTTCTCTCAAAACCTGTTTGTTTTCTTAGCAGTCCATGGTATATTCAATACTCTTCTCCAACACCACAGCTCAAAGGCCATCAATTCTTCTATCATCCCTAGTCATTGTCCAGTTCTCTGATGCATAGTAAGTGGCCTATATCAGGCACACTTTAGTCTCCAGACTGACATAATTTCTCTTAAGTACTTTAGAGAGATCTCTAACCACAGACTTTCCCATCGCAATATGTCTTTTAATTTCCTGGACGCTGGTGCCAAGAGTGTTGATTGTGGAGCCAGACAAACTAAAGCTATGAACAATCTCATTCTCTTCACTATCAATCATGATGCTGCCAGTCAGCCCATTGGTGAGAATCTTTGTTTTCTTGATAATGAGCTTCAATCCATATTGAAGGCTGCAGTCCCTGACCTTCTGCAGCAAGTGCTTCAAGACCTCCTCAGTTTCAGCAAGCAGGGTTGTGTCATCTGCATAATGCAGATTGTTGATGAGTCTTCCTCCAATCCTGATACCACATTTCTCCTCACAGAGCCAAGCCTTCCAGATAATCTGTTCTACATAAAGATTGAAAAGTTCCCTTGCTCTGTTCTGACGAGTGCCTCCTGGTCCAAGTATAGGTTTTGCATTAGCACGATCAAGTGTTCTAGGATTCCCATTCTTCTTGAGTTAGTCACAGTTTGCTGTGATCCCCACAGTCAAATGTCTTTGCATAATCAATGAAGCACAGATAGACATTCCTCTCATACTCTCTGCTTTCAGCCAAGATCCACCCAACATTAGCCATAATATCCCTAGTGCCATGACCCCTTCTAAATTCAGCCTGCACTTCTGGTTGTTCTCTGTTGATGTGCTGTTCCAGTAATTTTTGGATAATCTTCAGCAGAATCTTGCTTGTATGTGATATTAATGATACTGTTTGTCCTTACTTATATAAAAAGACCAGAAAAAACAAATTTTTAGAGAACAATATTTAATAGTAGTTGCAGGGAGAGGAAAAGGAATAGTTAGTCATGATGGAAAATGGCATTGATAAAGGGTAGAATTGCACTGTTGAAATTGTGACAATAAGCTGTACACATGTAAAATAATGAATTGGTAAAAACCATGTAATGAATATATTTACAACAAAAATATAATAAGCACTTGATTTAAAAGAATAGCTGCTGAGGTTGCTTATGTACACCTAAACCACATCTTTTGAAAGGCAATCAACAACAACATCATCTGTATATACAGAGAAGTACACCAATTTTAAGCACAGTGAATTTTCACCATAGCCGCCTTTTAGCCAGAGTTCATAATAAAGAAGCAGTATTATTAACACCTTATATGCCCTACCTTGTACTTTCCCAATTTTGACTCCTGGTCATCAAGGTCACTTGTAGTGGTGTGAATTGTTGATTTGAAAACTACTCATAGCTGACCTTCTAGCAGGTCTTCAGAGGCACATGAGGAGATTGCCCATTTTTCTCCTACAGAGAAGTCAGTTGATTCGAACTCTGTCCCTTTGCATTGGCAGCTCAGCTCCTTATAATAAGCCACCAGAGCTCCCTATCAAGGTTACTGCCCACTGGTAATAGCCGTTTCTATCACGCTCTAAGTAGGGTCTACGTGTAAAGCTTTTTCACGGTCAGCTGATTGCAAGGGCTCTTTGTTCTTAATGTTCTTTGTACGACAAAATGGAAAGAAAACTGAAAATGAAACAAAAATAATGTGTCTGCCATCATGTGCCTTTTCCCAGCACCCTCCATGCCGGCGTATGAGCTGGAGACCCCTCTGAATCAGACGGACAACACAGTGACAGTCCTGCTGAAACCTGCTCAGAGCAGAGGGGCCCCTGTCAGGTAAGTAGCAGGCAGTTAGAATCAAATGATGAATGGCTCCAACGTGTTTGCTGAGGATTTGCTACAAATCTCATGTAAACCCGAATTTTTATTAGCTCTAATTGAAAGAAATGTGAGGAAAATGAAAGTGCTTTGATGTGAGCTGTTCAAGTATTGTTTAAAGTGTTTGAATCTGATGTAAGCGGATTGTCCTTTGAAGATCAAGAACAAAGTCTCTGAGTAGGCACCTTGACTTCTAAGGGGTGATGGCTCACTGCAATTAGGAATTAGGAGAAGATGATGACAACATTTTTGTCCCAAGCTGTTTTCCTTAAATGGACCTTTATTTTGTGTTTATCCTGGGGTGTTATGTCAAATAACTTTTTAGTCAGTTGCCTAATTTATCAATTGGATATACGATCCATAATGGTTTAAAAAGAAAAAGGGATAATTGCAAAGAACATCTTAAAGCTTTTATTTGAGCAAGTTCAAGCTTATTACCAAAATCCAGGCCCAATTTCTCATTCAATAATGATTTCTATTGCTTAAAAATTACAAAGAGTAACTCATACCGGGAATGCGTTAAGGAAATGTATTCTTCCTGCCAAAGAGCAAAGGAATGCCTGAATGGCTCTTGAATATGAACTTGTTATAAGCTCATTAATCTATACAAATGAATTTCTTTGTTTCAGAGGAAATTTAGATCCTTTCCTTTGAATTATCAGAATAAATTCTCTTCAAAATAACCAGTTTGTTGCTTTGAAGACTTTATTCTTTAGAAAAAAAGCCCTTACATCACAATTAAGATTGTACGAGTTTGTTTCTATTTGATTTTTTTTTAATTTTGAGAATTTGCTGTAATTAGTCATTTGAAATTCAAATCTGTTTGGCCATGTTTCCGTATGACCGTTTAGAAAAATTATATACTGTTAGTTGAGTTTCTTCCTGTTTGCCAAAATATGTACAAAATATATTGATAAGGTCACATTATAAAAGGATACCATTCATTGATAGTGATGTCAGATTAGAATGGGTTCACAGATACTTTTATTTGAAAAATATACAAAATTTTATGAAAAGCAATTTATTTTCTTGAATTGCAACACACAGTAGCTCCTATAAAGCACCACGGCTTGTATGGTGTGAATAGCCCAGTGCTCAGCTTTGAAGTAAGTTCCAGTCCCCTCAGAGGTTCCTTAAAGGAAAGGTCTTGTGATCTCTTTGTAAAAACCAGCTGTTCTCTAGAATCTCCCGTGCTATACACTATTTTAAAATATCATTTTTCCATAGTGCTGCATAGTATTCCATTGGGTGAGTGAATATTCCAAAATTACTCAAAGCATTGTGCTCAGTGAACGCAATCTCTTAAGGACAGATACTGTATAAGACCGTCACTATAAAAAGAGAAGAATAACTAGTAAGTTGTGTATAAATGGCCAGCAGGGGAAAGGAGAATGGGGCAGAAGGGGAGAGTGGAAATCGTTATGATAGCACAGTTTAGTGGGTAGATTGAATGGGAGTAAAGGAACAGGAAGAATTCAGTGGGGACTTGAAAGGACAGGGTAATAATCGGCAGAGAGCAATAGTAATTTTATAAAATACAGTACATATATGAATGGTCATATGAAACACAATGTAAATGTAAGATTGTAAAAACATAATGTTCGTGAATGAAATGATGGTTTCTTTTTTTTTTTTTAAAAACACATAGGTGTTAAGAATTTAATATTCTACAGAAATCAGGGACCGAAAAGAGCATTATTTAGAACATACAGTAGCACCACAAGATGCTATGCGAATCCTGCCTGGAATTAGCATTACCTTGAGAGACCTTTTCACTTTTCTGGCTTTTTTATTTCAGGTTTTCCTAAGTGAAATTTTAATATGAAAAGTTTTCTTAAAAAACTGTCTATCATCCATCAATGCAATACTATCCCCATCACCATTTTTACCTTTCCTAACAGCCCCAGAAAGATTTTCCTGTCCTAATCCTTATTCCCCACCCTCAGGTGAAAAAGCTACATTTAGCACAGGGAAATTTGCACATGACTAAGTGCCTTAAAAGGGGGAGATTATCTCTGATTACCACATGGGCTATGGGAGCTAAGGCTTGACCCCAGGGCCTTGATAGCTTCATTCAAGCCTGGCCAGCAACCTTCTTCACACGCTTGGTGGTCACCTTTTTACTCACCCTGGTGTGGTGTTAGTATTAACTGTCTACTCAAGCAGGATTCAAAACCAATGAGAAACAAGGCAAGGCACATGGAAGTGGGAGGCTAGGAACTTCAGGGTGTTAGGGGGGATATGGTGGCCCTGCTCCTGGATGCTTCTGCTCTGTACCATCATCTAGTCTTGGACATAAAAGCAGATGAGAGAGTATAAAAAGTCTACTTTGCATAGTCAGGGGCACATGGACCCAGGATCCCTAGGCACTGCCTCCAGACCTAACAGAAACACATCTTCGAATGCGTCTTCCACGGAAAAGGGCCAGCTTTCTCTCCAGGGCTTCCACTGCCAGGACACAGATTTAAGCTTGGCCACTTTGTGAAGGCTAGGAATGATTAAGTTCTGAGTATCCTCAGCCTATACCATGTCACAAGAGGGAGCTGAGATACGGAGAACTCCATGACCTCTGACTCACTCAATGCCATAGATGATTCCAATTCAAAGTGGCCTCCCATGAGGTTTCCACAGTTGGAAATCTTGGCAGTCTGTCTTTCTCCCAAGGAGTGGCTGGTGGATTCGAACCAGTAGAGATGCCTGGCTTTTGATTCGCAGTGCAACACTCTACAGACTAAGCCACCTCTTTTTTTTTCAGCATGATCTCTAGTCAGCAGTAAATTCAAACTCAGGTTTCGTTCCAGAAGTTGGAGCAAGAAGAAGCCCAGGTTCTCTTCCTCTAGTCAGACAAGGGCTGGGGCCTCAACACCCCTGGGTGACTCGGATGCCTTCGGCCACATCAAGTTTACGGGCCGCAGACTGAGTGGCCAGAGCCAGCTGGGACCTCCTCCACTGTGCACTCATAGGGTCTCAGGCCGATGGCTTTTTCTATGGAGGACCAGCTGGGATTTCCAATCAAAAGCTTGGCCACAGTCACCACAGAAGTGTTGCTTATGTCCAACATGGCTCTTACAATGGATGACCAGCTGTGACTTCCAGCTGAAGCTTCGTCCACACTCCTCACAAGGATAGCTGAAGGGGGCAGTGGGGATGTGCCAGGGATGCGACCGTGGCTCTGGAGTGATTGGTGGTGGTCTCTCAGCACTTCCAAATGCCGGCTGGCTCCCTGCATGTGCTCGCCTATGGATGACGAATACTGACTTCCAATCAAATCCGAGGCCGCACTGCTCACATATATAGGGTTTCCTGAGTGGTGCCCGTGTCTCCAACCCAGGCCCGGGTGACGCGGTCCAGCCTTGTACACCACTGGCCTGCGGTACTGGGACATACATGGTGGCTGGGCCTTGCAGAGGCCAGACCTCTGGGGAGGCTGCGGGCACCTCCAGGAGCCTCCTGCCCTCATCTCCTACAGAGATCACGGTCCCATACTTCTGAAGCATCGTGTCCCAGTACAGCTCCTTCTGTGATGTGTCTAGCAGCCCCCACTCCTGCATCCTGGGAGGAAGGAACGATGTAGAGGTTGTGTTCTGACATTCAAGGTGCCTCTCAGGTCCCTGGGCTGGAATCAGAGGAACAAGCGGAGCTATCTGCTGCCTGTCGGCATCTGGCTCCTCCTTCACGTGGCAGTTGAGCTGGGCAGGCCCCTCTATCAGGGCAAGACGGGGTTCTGCAGAGCCTGAGGGGAGGTGACCCTGTGATGCTAATTTGGCCTTCTGAGGTGTTGGAGATACCTCCAGCCCTAGAACATGGGCTGTGATGGTTTCTTTATGAAAAGAATGAAAATACCTTTTCAGCTGATGAAAACCTTGTGGAACATAACTCTACTCTGACAAATGTGGGTTCCAAATATGTCAAAATAGACTCAGCATTACATGGGTTCTGATGCCCAGTGCAGACACTCTATTCCAGAAAAAGATGTCATTGATACTTCTTAGGTCTTTGTCTTCACCTCTACCTGATCTGAGGGTTATGCTAAACTATTTGACTTATTCAATAGCAGGTTGTCCAGGACTCAGGTGTAGCTGTGGTCATGGGCGAGGGATTTCTTCAGTCTACCTTAAAGAAGCTCACTGTAATCAAGTCAGGAGTGACTCATAACTGACCCATTGAGCTTACAAGGATGAAAATCATAGAAGAAATTTCCCATTATTCTCCTTCAGAGCCTTTGGTGGATTTGAATCATCAGAACATCAGTGATTATCAATGGATAATCACTATAGTCTTGCTAGCCTCGTGTGTGTGTGTGTGTGTGTGTGTGTGTGTGTGTGTGTGTGTAATCAACAGTTGCCCGTACTCAGCAGTGACAGGTCAATAGATCATAAACCAGTGTTTACTGGTAAAGCATCATGACACAATGAAAAGTTAGAGTTCAGTCACTCTCGATGTCTCCTAACAGACAGAAGCTGTAATCTAGATATTTCTCAGAAACAGTTATCTCTGATCTTGCTGATTTTATTTAAGTTCCTTTTACATGTTTTCTATTCTTGCATCTTAATGTCATACCCTTTCAGATAGTTTTCTGTCTACATGTATAGATGTTTTTAGGTCTTTCCAAGTCTTAAGTTTTAAAATAATGATGTATACTGCATTGAAACAGATGAGGAAGAGAACTGTTTAAAAGGGATATTTGATTGTATATTATTGTCATGACAGGAGTCCAGAATGAAGGCTGCACAGCTGAGTGGACTTGGGGAAAAGTATTGCATAATAATGAAAGAGTTTTTCTTTTACTTTTCAAGAAGAGTGAGTTGGTGGGGGGAGGGGGTAAGCAGGAAGAAAAGTGCAACAATGGGTACATTGTTTTGATAAAGATTTGACAGAGGAAATTATCACAATTTTACCTACAAAAGATTTCTTTTTTCTTTCCAATGTGGAAAAAGTGAATGTTTTCTGTAAGGAAG